TGAATTTGACCAGGGACTTTCCGAATCGCTTCTGTAGGCTTATAAACTCCGGGTCCCTGAACATGTCCTCCATGTTTTTGAAACCTAGATCAAATAAGATATATTAAAATTTGTTTTTGAAATTATTTTAAGCTTAATAAATGTATTAATATAAAAAGTCTTAATTTTATTGTTATAACATGAACTTATATTAAAATTATATACTAGATCAAAAATAACATTGCTTAATAAAAGCCAATATTATGTTAATTTAGTTGAGATTAGTATAATAAAAACCTAGCAATTAGTGTACGGTTTTAAAATTTTAAATATACAAATAACTAATCTAACAATTAATTTTGTACTACATATTTAGAAACTAGCAATAGGCTAATTAATCAAGAATAAACTGTAGAGTGCCTTATAAATAAACATGAATAATTAGTTGTAATTTATGTTTTCAATGTGTACTTGGTGTTTTGAGGTCAGTCTCGTCCACATAGTCAAAGTCCACACAAATGCGCTCGTATTGCATGACCCCATCGGCATTGTAAGGGGTTATGGGATCGCATACCTCCACGGCATCATAAACTGGCCATGATGCTAACGTTATCAATGCATATATTACCAACCCTATGCCCGGATGAATAAATACAGCCTTGTTTAATTATTACATAATTGTTATGATAATTATTATTATTATACTTACGTTTCATAATAAATAGCTAAAAAGCAATTACTTTTTGTTAATATACCATATGTTTTGTATGATTTTGAATAAAAAGTAAAAATTATTATTATTAACAAATGACCTTATATATGTGATTGATGAGTTTTATGTAAAGTTGCTAAAAGTGTTATTTTAAGCAATGGACAGCCTATAGAATGGGGATGAAGGTAGGAGAGGGCATATGGAGGTTGAGGTTGTCATGTTATATTTATGCCAGTAATCATAGATGGAGTAATTAGATATCACTTAATTTAATTAAATTAATTTTAATTAGATTTATAAAAAAATAAAGATTTAAAACTCGGATTATTATATTAATTAACTTTATTTGGTATGATTTTCTATAGAGTTTGTTAAAGAAAACGTCAATTAAAAATAGTTAACATGCTAATTTATTTTTAAAATTTATTTAGATTAATTAGAGAGTATAAAAATGTTTTTGCAAATGTTACAAGTAAGATCGCTACTATATTAAATTTAAAATTTTTAAATTAATGATTAAGATTATTTTATTAAAATATTTCATTTAGTTTTTTAGCCTATCTAATTTATTAAAACTATTCAAAATATATCTCATTTTTGTGTAATATTTCAAACATATCCGAAATCATCTATTACAATTTATTTAATGAATTTATGAACTATACAATAAATAGAGAAAATAACCAAATATTAATTACAAAATCATTAGATAATTTTATTATGTTAAAAAATATGGTATAGTATTAATTTTATAAATTATCCATTATGTTTGTTACAAGGATAAAAAATAAATTTAAATAAGCTGTATATTGTATATTTAGCTAAATAATTATTTTTCAATAAATAATATATTTTTCAAAATATATAAATTAAAAAAAACAATTTAAATAATATGTAATTAATAAAGTATATTGTAAATATATTCATTTCATGCCACATATTTTTGAAATCATTAAATATAAAACATTACTATTATTTACTATTACTAGGTACTAGATCTATTTCTATTGAATAAAATTTTGAATAAATATCTTTTTCATTTAATATGTTAAATACTATTGTGATACCATCTAGGATATTTACATAATTTATAAACAAAATTTTAATAAAATGAGTTTTAAAGTAAATGTACACTAAAGTGTTTATGAATGACATTGAAGCGATGACAAAAATTAGTTAATATACTTTATAAGGTTAAATAAAAAATTAAAAACATGTAAACGTAATAAGCATCATAGCAAGCTATATTCGATATTAAATGCTACACCCATATAACGCCATTGTATATAAAAATAAATATAATATGTTTCACATTAATGTATATTTAAATTAGTTTTAATTATTACATCAAAACCTTAAAATGAATGTGGATAAAACACAAAGATTATTTTATGATCACATCAACTCATTTTATAGTGATATTGATTTATCGGAGCAACTCATCAAGCTACTGCGGACACACCCATGTAATTATATGCTAGATGATATACTGGTGAGTTATTATTGTCATTTGATTATTAGTGATATTTAGTTTTGATTATTAGTCAATTGTTAGTGATAAATTATTTTAAATTTATATTCACCTTGCTTTTTTAATGTTGAAAATGAATAAACAATTCTAATTTATTTAAAAATTCATTATACTGTATATATTAAATTATATTATATTAGATTAAATATATCGTATTAAGTAAGAGATACAGTATATTAGAAATTACCACTGCATATTAATTTCTCACAATTATTAAGTGCATTTTAATCATTTTTAATATAAAATTTAATATTATTAAATTGTTCATTTCAACAATACCTGTCAATAATATTTTAATATAAATGAATTATTATAAAAATAATATTAAGGGATGGGTCAACCATGGTTATTTTTGGCAATGTAATTAACTGCCTATATTAAGGAATTCTAGTATATTCGTCATACAAGTATATTTACAATAAATCAATACTATACATTGGCCATAGTTTACCTATACCCTTAAATCAAACCTAGTGGCAAAATAATGGTCAATAGTACCGGTATATGAAATATTTTCTCTAAACCTTGCACATAAATTTAATTAAGCGAGTTTGGGCTATACAATAGTGAGCTAACTAATCATACATTTTAACTGTTATTTACATTATGTTATAAATGTTAATACAATGAAATATTTAATTAAATATATCAATTTTTAAAAAATATTAATTACAAGCTAAATTTCAAACTAAATAGATAGATAATTCCGTTTAGTAAATACTAGATGCATGTTGCATTCAAAGATACTTACAAGTTGCTAGTTTATCACTGCATGTTGTGCTTTAATTGTAGCAGCATGATCAATTAAAACATATTTTATATAGAGTGGAGCAGATGTTGGAGCGAATAAACGGCAAATACTGTTACAGTTCTCGCAACAGCGCCAACACCTCCACGAATTAGCGGACATATTGGAGAAGTCGGGTCAACCTCAGGTGGCGCACCATTTGCGCAGTTTTAGACAAACATTAAAATCAAATCAATTTCAACGACTTTCAAAGATTGGTGAAGGAGATTATGGGATTGTATACCGAATTAGGCATGCAATTGATCAAAAATTTTACGCGATTAAAGAAGTTGAATTAAATGGTTGATTATAAAATTTCAAATGTTTCAAATAAAATTTTTTAAACATTATATTTTGTATATAGATTTAAATGATAAAGGAAAACAAAGGATAATGGACGAGGTAATGCACTTGCAATACCTTCGGTCGCCATATGTAGTTGAGTACTACGACAGTTGGGTCGAGGGCAACACCTTTTACATACAAATGGAGGCGTGCTTCAATAATCTTAACAATATTCTTAGACTTAAGCGGCAATACTTCGAGAGACAATTGGGAGAACCCATGGATTTATACGAATACTTCATTTCATGTGAAATATTCAAAGAGATATTAGAATGCGTTCAGTATTTGCATGAAATGAATCCACCGGTCATTCACAGAAACCTTACGCCCGGCAATATACTGATCGTTAGGAATCATGTACAGGGCAGATTTATAAAATTATGTAGTTTAATATTGGCTACGATTCACGATACACGCATTCATTACAAAACTACACATAAACATACGGCAAATGTAGGAACCTCGAGATATATAGCACCCGAAAATACAATGGGTCTAAAGTACGACCACAAAATAGATCTTTATAGCTTAGCAATTATCGGGGCAGAAATATTTGAACTGGATCCATTCGACGGAAGCAGGTTCGTGTTTATTATTACAAAATAAATCTATTCGTGTGTTACTGTAATGTAATGTAATCTAAAATAATACTTATTTAATTATTACAGAACCAAGCAATATTCTGTGGACTACCCTGAGCTTAACCCGCCGGTACAACAGATGCAAAAACTATTGGACTCAATGTTAGCTAGAAATTGGCACAAAAGACCCGATTGTAAAGATGTTCTGGATAAATATAACGAGTGGTCTATTGATAAAAATATTATTCTAAACGATGCTAATTTAATGTCAACGTTACATTCGTACAAATCACGTGATCCGCAGTTTTTCTATGAATTTATAACAACTAAACTGCAAATACAAATAAAGGAAAGCAACTTAATAAAAATGAATGTGGGACATTATCAAAACTCATTTGAAATCTTATGTAAAATTGGATCAGGAGGTTTTGGCGATGTGTTCAAGGTGAAAAATAAATCAAGCAATGAAGTATACGCTGTTAAAGTAATTGATTTCATAGCGAAAGGTATATTTAAAAAGCTTATATTTAATAACATTCTAATTAAACAAATTATTTTAGAATTGACGGATAAACATAAAAGAGATGTCTATAAAGAAGTGGAATATTTAAAGAGAATTGACAACAAATATATCGTCCACTGTATGGACGCCTGGAGGGAAATGGATGTCGTTTATATTCAGCTGGAAATCTGTTCACAAAATTTAACGAATATTCTGGAAATCAAACCACAAGTATTTCAAAGGGAACCAAAGTTTCCGATGAATTCATACGAATATATCATTTCGTGTGAAATATTTAGAGAAGTTTTAGAATGCGTTCAATATTTGCACGGATTGTCATTCATTCACAGAGACTTCAAACCCGACAATATATTAATTTCTGATAATTCACTAAAAGGACGATTCGTAAAGTTATGTGATTTCGGTTTAGTTACAAAACACGATAATATTATTCACAATAAAACAGTCAATAAACACACAGCAGAGGTGGGAACCGATCGATATATAGCGCCAGAAGTTATATTCGGTGCAAAATATAACCACAAATGCGATATTCATAGCCTGGCAGTTATTGGTGGCGATATATTCGAAACTAACGTGCTTACTGATTTAGACAAGTAACTCATAATTTTAATTTAAAATATTTTTAAAAGAATTTTTGAGTTAATATTATTTTTCACATTTATAGTAAACAACCATATTCATTGGCAAACAGCCAATTGAATGGACCGGTAGCCCATTTGAAGCAAGTTTTGGATCAAATGCTGGTCAGGCGTTGGAATGAAAGGCCGGAATGTAGTGAAGTGTTGGCTAAATATAACGAGTGGTCTATCGATAAGAATATTCTCGCAAATGATGCAGAATTTGAGTCAACACTAGAGGGAGTTCATGCGATTGAGACACAGATAAGGGAAAGGGATGAGAGTAAGAGAGACACTCAATATATTAATTCCAGACTTAATAATGATTATTATGGCGTACAGAATGGGAAACATTTTTTCAAAAATTATTTATCATATATATCAATGCATTAGAATATATTGCTAATATTAAAATATTATTTGGTTTATTATGTCAACAATGTGTTTTTAAAAATAAATATCATAATATATTTATCAAGTAATTCAAAACATTTACAAATATTTATCTCCCTCCATTTATCTGATAATTAAATTTTACAAACTTTTTTAAAAACCTTTATTAAAAACTGTTTTCCTGCTTGGGACGCGAACCCATGTTCCCCTATACACCTCCTTTCAGACGATCTTTGAACCTCCTATTGGTTAACTTGTACTTAGTTATTGTTAGGCAGACACTCTAACTGCTACACCACTCTTCATTTAAAAATTTATTTAATATTTGATTTTGTTTACAAACTTTAATACAATATATTGTATTAAATTGTCTATACTTAAAAGTATGTTTTAAAATGTAAACTTTTGATTATCATTATTTAAATAAAACAAAATTTATAAAGTTATAAATATAGAGAAAATTTTGTTTTTTCTATATTACTTATTTTACTAATTAACAATTAATTTTTATTGTGTACAATTAAAATCCAATGTGTTGAAATAGTTGTCATAAGCACCCTGGTACATTTGAAGGTAGCCACATCTCCACAAATGCAATGCTTATACATGACCATTAGTCGATCATAAATGCATATTTTAAACTATCCACGATGCAATCACTGCTCCATTACCAGCTCATAAATCACATGAATTTGATCAGGCTCATTCAACCCGTGCTTTGTTTTATCGTCCACTGTGTGTACGACTGTCCATTGAAAGGAACGCAAGGTTTTTGGCTTTGACTGTATAGTCGCCCTGTCTGTGGGTACCTGGATACTACCAGTCCAGGTCAAAACCACTACAATACTTGAGTTACATACTGTATATTAGTTTAAAATGAATTCATTTAGAACTATATTAAATATTTTTTGAGTAAATAATTTAACAAATTATATTTTTTATAAAAATTAATTAATTATTTAAGTCATTGTCTATAATATAGTATAGTTTTCTCACAATTATTAATACTGTCACCTTGTAAGTTTAAATATTATTTACTGTACTAATTAGTCTTAATAACTGTTTATCATTTAATGTTAAATTGAACACAAATATTTTAATTAATAAATACAAAAATTGAAATTATTTTATAAAATTCTATATTAGACCATAATATTTTAAACATTGATTATAATTTCAAAACATTATTCTTGATGTTAATTTAATTATAAGTTGATATCATAATAATAAAATTTTTCATATTCTAGACTTTTAAAAGTTTTGGCAATTTGTGTTATTATTTTATGATATGTATATTTACAGAAAACAATAAATGCATTTAATTTAAAAATCAATATATTTTAATTAAATGCTTATTTATGATATTTACATAATTTAATATTTTTGCATGAAATCGATTGTTATATCATTTATGCGGCAAATAGTAATAACTAATCTATTTTTGCAGTTACTCCCTAATATATTAAGTTTATCTGAACTTACAAAATAGTAAAATATTATTGTGACACAAATACTACAATTTAAAATATTATACCAAATAATTCACACGACATACACAGAAACAAAATATTAATTGATCTATAATAAATGATTTATGATGAGTGCTATGAAATGCATAACTAATCTTAATTCTATTATATAAAATTTTTTATAATTTAGTATAAAAATCATTATGTTATTTTCACTGAAAAAATTTTAAAATTAAAAATGTTTGACAGAAAAAGAAATATTTTATTTGATAAGAAGACTGACTTCAGAGCAAACCATATCATCCATTCGTACGCAGATTATGCTAATTATGGTAATCATAATAGTATTCATAATAATAGCACCAGGGCCAATTATGGTATAAATGACAGGAGTAATATTAACTCCAAATATGATATCAAAGCAAAATCCAAGAATTTCATGGGAAGGGTATTTGATTTGAAGATCGAAAACAGGTTTGAATTGTGTGTGCGAGTCGTTGTATGTATGGTATGTTTGGCGGGATTTACATATCAGTCGGCGATACTTATCACGAAATACATGAGCGGCCGTACGGTTGTCAACACAGCCGTCGAACGGCTCAAAGAGACCAAAATCCCGGCCTTTACTTTCTGTTACCCGACGTTCCTATCGATGGAGAAGTTCGTCAAAAAGTATCCCAATTTCAGCGACGATTACAGAGACTATCAAATGAATTATACCGGTGGTTATTGGAGAATCAACAACCAGCTACTGATATATTGAATGAAAAGTTTTACATGAAGTATCCAAATTTTACAGACACTTACAGAGAGTATCAAAATATTTCCCAACAAAATCACTTCAATAATATCAACAACCAAACAGCTATTGATATATTGCGTGAAAGGTTTTTCATAAAGTATCCAAATTTCTCCGAGGCTTACAGTGAGTATCGAAATATTAACCCACAAAATCACTTTAAGAATAGGAGAATCAATAACCAAACAGCTATTGATATATTGTACGAAAAGTATTTCATGAAATTTATGCGCCATTTGGATGCGAATCCTCCGACTATTAGTGAGATCTTCGAGGACTTGAGTATTGAGATGAGGGCGAAGCAGATGAAGCAACACTTCACTTTGTTTGTGACCGACGCCAACACCGAAAAGACCAACAGTAAAGACAACGCGTACTACGACTGGAACCCCATTGAGTCGATCACCACAACCCCATCCCTACGCAAGTGTTTCACGTACTTCAGTGATCTGAACGAGAAATGGCGGGACTATAAGATGGGAGTCCAGAACTTCTTCGTGAGGATCGGACAAAGACACAAATGGTTTCCGTTCAGCAAAAAGTATTTGTCTGACTATCAGTTCAGTATTCACGCGCCGAATATGATTCCGGTTCTCAATAAAGAGAATTTCGTGACACTAACCATGGCTTCAAGACTTCATGTAACCTTTTCGGAGATCCGGATCAAACGATTGCCACCTAATTATGTGATCAATTGTCGCGAATATGACTTCAATGACACCAATCATATCCAACTCAGGAGCGACTGTATCACCAAATGTGTGCAGAAATGTCTGAAGGATTCATGCAAAACGGATTTCGTTGAGATTCCGGAGTTTCTGATCCAATGGGAGTATTATAAGGGGCTCAGCATTAGGCCGGATAGGTTGGCGCCGATACTGAGCCAAAACGTGACGGAATGCATACAAGTAGAAAGCAAAACGTGCAAGGTACAATGCGAGGGCAAGTGTCCCAACAATTGCATGGATCGGGTCTATGATTTCAATATCGTGGAGTCCAGAGATGATAGTTATAACATTGAGTTCAATGTAGAGCACAGCCGACTGCCCGACCAGGTCTATGAACACACGCCTGAAGTCTACTTCATATCATTCGTGTCTAATTTGGGAGGACTGATAGGCATGTGGTTAGGGATGTCCATCATATTAACATTTGATTATATTACTCAGTTATTTGTGAAAAAGTCTATTAATTGTGAATATAAGAAAAAATTAGAATTTATGTTAAAAATATTGCTCGCATTAACATGTTTTACGGGATTTATATTACAAACCAAACAACTCATTGAACAGTATTTCAGTGGCAGTACTACTGTCTACATAACGGTTGACAAATTAAAAGAAAGCAAAATACCGGCCATTACTCTGTGTTTCCCAACTTTCTTATCAATTGAGAAATTTGGTGAAATGTATTCATCCAATCAATACATTAACAAATCATTTACAGAATATATGAATTATTTACAAGATATTAAAAGTGATGATTTTTTAAATAGTCGACAAATATTGTCTAAGCTTTTTAATAATTATTATAATCAATGGTTTAAAAGAAGTTTAAATAATCCAACAATTTATCAAATATTTGAGAATTTAAGTTATTCTTTGGCCAACTCTATGGCAATGAATGTATTATGTGATGACAGTGAACACCACATCAAACGAAGACATTATTATTATCTCAGACACTGAACCAATTGAATCCATCAGATCTACGGCTCCTTTAAAGAAGTGTTTCACATATTTTAGTGATTTAAATGAAAAATGGCAGCAATTTATGACTCATATTAAGTATATTTCGGTTATATTTCATCACCAGAATCAATGGTTCCCACAATTCCGTGATCTTTTAAATTATCAAATCAGTCTTCACTCACCGAATCTGATTCCCGAAGAAAGCAAAGAATTTTTCACTCGAATTAAAATGCCGTCAAAAGTATTTATAACATATTATGAAATCCAGACCCGACTCCTACCGCCCCGTTATGTCACTAATTGTCAGAACTATGACATCAATAATAGTGAAGATCACCGAAAATTTAGGACTGATTTCACACTCGAATGCATTGAGAAGTGTATGAAAGAAAGGTGTCGTGAACTGGAACAGCACAACTATAGAAATATTTACATTTACGACTTCTTGCATAGGAAGGAAAGGTATCTAAATATATCAATGAGAAACGAAAGCCTAGACTATATTGGCTATTATGGTAACGTGAATTGGTATGGTTGTCTCACAAGCAGAAAATGTCACGTCGTATGCGATCGACTCAATCCAAACAATTGTGTCCAAAGGATATATGATTTTAAAGTGATTGAGACAATCGATACAAATGACGATAAATTGGAGATCAATATCAGGCACAACCAATTGCCTGATAAGATATTTGAGCACATACCTGAGATGTCATTCATAACATGTATATCGAGTTTTGGTGGATTACTGGGCATGTGGTTAAGTATATCTATAGTGGTTATATTGCACTTCATAATTACAATCATATTTAATGATTGGGGAAAGAGAACTACAAAGAATAGGATTCCCAGATCACCCATACCTCCAAAACCAATTTACAATCAAGATATTGCCAGTGGATCTAACAATTGATCCTGGTAATATTCTGTAAGTCTTAACACATACAAACTGTAAGCATATTGTGCAATTAGATTACAGAAGTTATTAAAATTGATCATGTTTTAAAATAAAAATTAAAATAGTCATTTAAAAATATGATTATAATTAAATGTAGAATATCAATATTTATGTTTTACAAAATATATGTAGATTTTTGCACAAAAAATATAGCAGCGTTTGTGCAAGTTGATGATCAAATAATACTTGTACTTGGTGCACTAGGTTTAAATCTAACTTTAATTTTGTACGCTTTGATTCAATACTGTATGTTTGATACCGTAAAACCTGATCACATGTCTTATACAATGTATACAGTTTATTTTGACAATATGATTTATAACTTTTTATTTGATAATACAAGATATGCTTGGTTAAATTATTGAAGCAGTTTTTAAATAATAAATAGCAACAAGCACTTTCTGTGTATTCTACCGTTTACCTTTCTGGTGAAATTATTTAATTAATCTTGGTGTTTTTAACTGACGAGTAACCTTGATTAACAATAAATATTCTTAAAATATATATTTCTTATATAACAAACTAATCATAATAAGTGGGCACAGTATACGCTTTAGTATAATGTCTAAACAGCACCGGTAGTTATTTTAATAACAGATAAAACAGTAAATTTTACTTAATTTAATTGTTTATAATATTTTTATTGACAAGTTAGATATATGGATTGCGTTTGCGTAAATAATTTAGTAATTAATATATTAAATAAATTATGATTTACAAAAATTATTGAGCATTTAAAAACTGTAATTTAATATACAAATTTCATTTATATTAAATTTGCCTAGTGCATAAAGTTGGCTCTAATTTTTAGCAAGAAAAATTACATGACTATTAGTTGCATGCTATTGGGACCGACACTGTTAATGAAATGACAAGGTTTATAATTACTAAATTCTTATTATTTTATACTATAATAAATATTAGCTTTTTCTAAAAAATTAATAAAAATTTAAAAGTAAAGGAGCTCCCTCGTTTTGTCTGGGTTTGGGTCCGACTGGGTTTTAAAGTCAATCCCTTTTTAGAAAGTATAAAAATAAATTTCATAATGTATTCTAATTCATAGGCAATTTGATAAGGCTGTAATATATTTCTTAAAAATTATTTTAATATTATGCAATAAATAATATATTTCATAATTGGCAATTAGTAATTTAATTACCAATTTTGCAAATTAATTTACTATAACGATCATTTTGAAATGTGTATTTAAAAATATTTTTAAGGTAAATAGGCGAACATTTTTTATTATAATTCATGCTAATTTAAAACTGAATAAAATTGAAATATTGTTTGACAAGTATTTCATGAGTTTATGCGACATTTGGATGCTTATCAAAAAACTATTATGTTTTTAATACCATAATATATTTCTAATAAATGAATATTAAACTACAGTTTCTATGATAATTTAGTTAATTATTATTTGATTCTTAATTTAAAAATATTTTATTTACTTTAATGAAACTCATATTTAAATTAAGTAAATTAATTAAATAAATAAAAATCGTTTCAAAATTCAGATCATTTTCATCAGTTATTATGGCGTTGAAGTAGTGTATAGTCTTCGGGACTGCAGTATATGGCGATCAACAGCGGCGGTATTTTATAGTGACCCGGAGTATAGACGTGAGGTTTATGTTAGCAAAATTATTATTTTTATTATTATAGATACTTTATATTAATTATCTTTATTTATAGAAATATCTAAGAAAATTTGTAATTTTTAATACGGATAGATAACTACTGTAGTATTATAGATTATAGATTATGAATTATATTATCTTAATCTCTTATTAATTTTATATAATTTATGGGCAATTAAAATGTTCTTGCACTTACTATTAAGGTTTAACATATTTAATATAAAATAATCTTGCTTACTAAATAATAATTGAACCTTAAAATAACACTTTAATTCAGTTTATTATTTATTTATGTTATACTTTATAAATTAGAATTTTGTTAATTCAGTGAAGTAATGATTTTATATTAAATTGTGCATGCTCTCTGGAACATTTGTGCACTAATGTGGTCAGAAATAATCAGATTGTACCGGAACAAAATACACATGATTAATCTGTCCCATAACATTAATAAATTAGCCAAATATGAGACGGCATCGGGCGGTACACTTTGATAAGCTTTTCTAGTGATCTTTGTCATTTTTATAAAAAATATAGTAAAGTAGATAAGAGATTTAAAATTAACAGGACAATTGTCACTAAGCCCAATATAATATAATTATGAATTAATATATTGTGTATTAAAAAGTATTTGTTTTAAAGTACAGCTTATAAATAAATAACTAAATTAAT